AGGGGGGCAGCAGATGATGCATGGACGGGGGACGGGGGGCTCTTACCTCGGCGTAGATGCACTTGAGGAACTCCAGCTGCTGCCGCAGGAGGCCCACCCTCACCTCCAGCTCCTCCTTGGTCAGGTAGAGACAGTCCACATCCTGGAGAGACACCGCGTGTTCGGTGAGAAGAGGTGAAGAGACAAGGGCTATGGCAAAGCCCATGTTTTCTGTTAGATTTGAAGGAAACCGCACCATTTCCAGCCCTGAAGCCTGTCTGGGTTTGTGTCATCTGTGCTTACAACCTGGAAGGGCATCTCTAAATTACTTAGGTTACCTCTGTTTCCACTCACCTTCTTGAGGACCACAAACTCGTTCTCCGCAGCCGTGCGCTTGTTGATCTCATCTTCGTATCTGCAGGAGAAAAGGAGAGGGGTGGGATGCTGAGCCCTGGGGGTCCCATCTCCACCACCCAGTGCAGAACGTAAGAAGCGGGACTAAAACCAGAGCCTCTCCCTGTTTGCTCTGTACCTCCTTTTTGATTTTTTTTTTTTTGCTTTGTTGCTATTTCTTCCCTCCCCGCTGGTCTTTGCTCAGCAGATTTAAATAGTCCACGTCAGCAGTATCGGTGGCAGTGAATAAGGCCAAACTACTAGAAATGCAAAACCCTCTATGTCAGCTGAAGTCTTGGACTGCTTTTTCTTGCCCTGCTGCTTTGTCTGATGTTTTTCTGAAGCATCCAGGACTCTGCTCTGGCTGTTTATGGGGAGACTGTGGCCAAAATGCCCCAAGGGAGGTCAGGAGCTTGAGCAACCCTCGAAACTCCCAGGTGCAATGGGGAGGAAAGCCAGCGCGTAATGACCAAGTAATTGGGACCTAGAAGAACTTTCACAAGGTGATTTTATGAGTCTGACCTCCTTGGTGATGGCCTGGGGAGAAAAAGCATCTGAAATGCTTGGCTATAAGATCTCTGGAGAAAGGATTACTCTGTGCACCACCAAGCACCAAGTGTCCTGGGTTGTGGCTTAGCAGAGCACATGGGGAGCTACTGAGCATATCTGTGCTATTAAGGAATATCTGCAGCTTAGACTAAGAACTCCAGCAGTTCCCAATGAATTGTTGAATGAACCCCAATGGAGATGATGTGGATAAGGCATGGGGTGGAGACTAATAGCCTGAGGGTTTTGTGGGTATGGATTGCACCAGGGACATGAGATTTGGGGGACCCATAGGCACAGATGATGTGGGAGATTCTATATGGCTAACCACAGTGGTGTGCAGGAGCGTTAGGGAGAGGAAAAGTGGTTCCCCATCCCTCTCCTAAGGAAATGCTGTGGTTGAAGAGTTCTCCCAGTCCATCACCAGCATCTGAGGTGCAACAGTGGGACCCCAGTACAGGAAACCAGCCCAATGCGGGGGTATCCTGCCCTGCTCCCCTCCCTGTGCCACAGTTTTTGGACCCATCCAGAGCAATTGCCTTGGCTTCAGGCTCAGAAACACCAGCAAACATCTCTGTGTACTACTTACTTGCACTTGTACTCCTGGACCAGGTCCCTGAGGCACCGCTCCTCGTTCTCTAGCCTCTCCCTCTCCCCCAGCACGCACTCCAGCTGCTTCCTCAGGTTGCAGATGAAGTTCTCGAAAACGGGCTCCAGGTTCCTGCGGGAGGCTGGGAGGACGTATTGCTGCAGCAGCTCCCACTTGGTGGTCAGCACCTTGTTCTGCTGCTCCAGCAGCCGCACCTGGGGAAAGCAAGAGCTGCCAGAGTCACGCAACCCTCTCTCATCCAGGGTTTCTCCATTTCCAAAAGGAAAAGGGAAAAATAAAATCAGAGATGCAAGCGGTGAAGTGCTGATTTCTCAGCAGCCTGAGTGAGAACAGCGTCATCTCTGGGCTGAACCTGGTCCCACCCAGGACTCGATGTCCCACACCGGTGCCTTTGTCCTGTGTTGAGACCAATCATCATTTGACCAAAGCACAGTTCAACCAAGCACCACCTCTTCCCCTGCAACAGGATCCACCACCTCCTCTGATGGGCTGATTACAGTAACGAGTCTTACGCGGCACTAAAAGCTCCATCCAGGATCTCATTTGAATGTATCTGATTTAAACTTTAAGCAGGGTTATTTATCATGCCTTTCACTTCTAGATTAAAGAGCTCTCTAGGACTTGAGAACCTTTGTGGATCATGAATAAGTCATTTTTCAAATGGGAGGAAGCAGAGTGGCTTGGGTTTGGTTTTTCCAGCTGCTAACAGCTCACAAAGAAAATCAAGATCAGGCAGAGCAAAGGCTTCTCTGCCATTTGAAAAATCACTTCCTACAATGCATCTCTAAACAGCAATGAAAACCCTTAGGCTTGGGTAGGATAACAAGGATCATTAATATCTGTTTAGGAAACCACCAAATCATTTCATTGACAGAGTGGAGGGACAGAAAAATTAAGATTGTTCATCTCATTTTAGCTACAGACGTCTCTCTTTTACATCTCCTCAATGAAGCACGCAAACTATTGTAAAATGTTGAAGTCCTCTGGAGTTCTCAGAGGTGTGATAGCAACATCAGGTTATGCATTTGTAGTGAAAGTTCCTATTTTGCCTTGTTACTTTTCCATGTGTCCATCCTTTCTCTCACAGGTTTTAATTTACTGGAGCCGCTCCCAGTTTAGTTTTTTAGCAGACTGGTGACCGTCACAAGCCAAAATACCGGCGCAGTTGCCTTGCTGCAAGGCTTAAATCCAAAGTCTCTGAGTCAGGACCACTATGGTCTATCAGAGACCATTGCAAGGTCAAGGTACCAGCAGAAATAGCTACCAGCGTTGTCTCTCTAGAGACCATCCATCCATCAGAGCCTGGAAACCGAGGCAAACAGCCCACACGGAGGGGAACGGGGTCTCACCTTGTCGATGAAGCAGGCGAACTGGTTGTTGAGGTTCTTGATCTGCTCTTTCTCATGGGTCCGCACTTGGCACTCCTCGGGGTCGACCCCCACGCAGAGGGGCTTGAGGAGCTCTGGGTGGATGCTGACGCCTCGAATCCCCTCGGATCTGCCTCCGCCGAGGCCGATGCCAATGCCACCATTAAAGCCTCCCATGGCCACGCCGTCCCCAAGACCTCTGTAGCTGCCCAGACCCCCGTAGCCTCCGCAGTTACCAAACCCCATGACGGTGCCCACGCCAAAGCGGCCTCCACCGTAAGTCACGCCACAACGTCCAACGCCGCCAGCACCGTAGGCAGCGCTGCGGCAGCTCCCACCGAAGGAAATCCTTTGCCCTCTCCCCAGGTCGCAGACACTCCGGCTGCTGAAGCCACCGATCCCACATCTCCGTCCCACCGGCGGGCAGACAGAGGCTGAGCTGCTGTTGGCCCGGCCAAGGCCACAGACTGCAGAGGCGGAGGAGAAGCCCCGTCTTCCCATAAGGGAGCTGGAGGTGTAGCACTGTCGACTCATGGTGGCTGGGGAGACGGGAGGCGAAGTGGTAATGGCAGAAGAGCGAGAGAGGAGCAGGGAGCGAAGAAAGGAGATCTCCTTTAGCTCCTCTGAGGCACAGCCCTTCTCCTTATATACATTTCAGGAGGTGCCTGAGATGCAAAAATTTAATTTATCCACTGGGTTTGGTCTGCCTGGCAGCAAGGAATGGCTTCCAACATTTTAAACCCACAGCAAACACTTCTATCTCATACGAAATAATGTGGAAATTAAAATAAACTGCTTTGCTTGCAAGCTTCAGTTTCAGGACTTATATTTTACTTAATTAATCTGCTTCCTTATTGTGTAATTATAGTTTAGCAAAATAATTCAAGGGGTTTTTATTCATGGCTTGTTTACGGTTTGGTTTCACCACAGCGTTTAATTATGTTTCAGGACCTCCTGCAAAATGTCGCGGTGATGCCGCCTCTTCCAGGGTCTCACGTCAGCTCAGGGCTGGCTCTTGAGCAATGACCAGTGGCAGCCAGGGAGAAAGAAGGTGGATCTGTCCAAGCCCAGCACCGACGCTGTGGGGAGCGTCCTCGTAAGCATTCATTTCTTCCTCTCACGGGGATGGCTATGGCTCTTGTGGGTAATTCGGTTGCAGCCATGTTTGCCGGCTCGCGTGCCGATAAGCGGAGCAGGATGGGGTCAGTGGTTTAAATATCAATGGAGCATGAACTACATGAGTTGGTGCTGAGGATGAATTCCGTCATGGGGAGGATGCTTTGGAAAATTTGGGGGCTCCTGCGTGTGAAGTTGAGGCAACTGACCCAACTGGGCTTCATGAGCCCCTTAGAATACACGGAATTGAGGATAAGGCATTTTTGGGAAACGCTTTGCTGCAGACGGCGATTTATTGCTGAATTATGTGCCTAGGGAAGGTGACGATTGTGGTTAGTATCTGGGTGTGATGTGACTGGTGCGCACAGCGAATTCACGCAAACGATAGCTGGAGATGTAACAAAGAAGTGAAGCGAAGTGTCACAAACAGGTTGAGAAATGTTAGCCAGAGTGAACTTTTTTCCTCGTATTCCTGTGACACACCTATTTGACATTAAATTATTCTAGTAATATCTGTTAATGAGAAGGTACCATGCCTTCTTAATTACAATACTTTAAAATATTTTTGAATTTACTTGGAAACAAAGTTCCTTTTTTGCCTTAACAAAAGGGTCTAATCACAAATTCACAAGTGGTTGCATAGCTTGCCCTAAAAAGTCTTTGCATCTTTGCTGAGGCAAAATCAACTGGTTCTGGGAGGATTCCTAGTCAGTGCTATTGTAAAGTCGAAATAGGTTGTCTTGAATTAAAAATAATGCAAAGGAATTATGATGAACTAGAATATTTGTGCAGCCTCTCCAGATAAAGATCTCCCTTTTCTTTTTTAACAGGTCTCATAATGGGTTGAAATGATCTATAAAATACTGTGTGCAATTATAATCATGGAGTCGTTCCGTTGTAGCTGCATAGTCCGAGTGTTTTAGGGTGTATGTCTTGCAATGAGATGTATTTTCATTTGTGAGATTGAGATAGCTGGAGAAAGCAGATGAGATTTTGGGCACTGCATCCTTCATGTCATACTGCCCAAGGTAATTCAAGCACCGGAACTTCTCGCTAGTGAGTGAAAGGGGGAATTATTTTGAAAATTTTCTCTGTTTTGTGCTGAATGGTGCAATGGCGCAAGCATTGTAGAGGACAGCTGGGTGCATGGTCTGAAGCCATATCTAGGTCTAGAGCACTGCCTGGGAACAGGGCATTCATGGAGGGGCTAAAGCATCGCTTAGCCTTTGGGTGGGTCCATGACTTTCATGGACTCTTTTAGGTGGGCCAAGCTGAAAAACAAGAAGCCAGGCTGTCATTTTACTGACACAAGTGTCTATGGCCCTGCTTTCTGCGTGCCATGGTGGGGCAGAAAGGAGATATGGGGGATGGAGACCAGAGATAAGGAGACACAGCCGCTGCTCCGAGCTCTTCCACCCAGTAAGAGCACAGAGAAAGACTCCTTTTCCTGGCAAGGAAGACACGGTCCTTTGTCCTTGAGGGTGGTGACCGGCCGGTTTTTCCTGCTGTGAGAAACCTGGATCTGGTTCGGAACAGGTCCCTGCTTTCCTCCATATCCCTGCTTGCCTGCCTGATGTTGAGCGCCTTGTGCCACATGGGTGATGCAGGCAGCTTTTGAGGGCTGTAGACCCTCCAAGCCCCTGTTTTTGTCAGAAAGCAAGGAAAATGCCACATGTGAGACCACCATCCATGTTCCTCTACCAGCCCCGAGCTCACTACTTGCATACAATGTGCTGCCAGGCTGTTTGCCCGTGGATCGAAAGCAGCAAACCTGCGCTTCAACCTCGGGCTCCTCCTCTCAGCCCTAAGAAGTGGCTTCTTCCTGGTGCCCTGCCTTTGCACATCAGAGGCAGACGGTGCAGGGCAGCCCTTGTGGTTTCCATCTGCTGAGCTGTCACGAAGCTGGTTCGCCGTCACATGGTGGAGGCCCTGAGCGCTGGTTTCACCAGCTTCAAAGGAGGAAGCACGCCGGTGTGATTCGGTCTCCTGAGCAGGAGCATTGCAACAGCTTTTATTTCATCTTCCACACGCACACATATGCACAGCACTGGCTCAACTCAGATGCAGATGTCTTCTTTGTAGAGACTTTCTTCATATCTCCATGCTTTGTCCTCACATGTCAGATAGCATTTGAAGAGCTGTAGAAAGGAACTAACACTCCTAAAGAGGAAGAGCTTAAACTGCTGCTTTCAGGCTGATGGGATTCAGCAGAGCTTTAAAGCGGCCACTTACAGCCAGATTTACTGGTGAAACCCCTGAGGTCTTTCGCCCTAAAGATGCCTTGAACTGTGGTGTCTTCCATGAGACATCTGCCTTTGAGATTTACATATACCCAGATGCATTAGGATAAATTAATTCTGCTTAAACACCTTGCTAAATTGGGACTTGTTAAGCCATCCATGCAGATAAGGAGAGCCCAGGGGGTTTTTCCAAACTCTTGTTATGATTCCGGCTGTAACAACTCAGCCACCCAAGCCTGCTTTCTCCCAGTGAGTCTTCCATGAGACATCTGCCTTTGAGATTTACATATACCCAGATGCATTAGGATAAATTAATTCTGCTTAAACACCTTGCTAAATTGGGACTTGTTAAGCCATCCATGCAGATAAGGAGAGCCCAGGGGGTTTTTCCAAACTCTTGTTATGATTCCGGCTGTAACAACTCAGCCACCCAAGCCTGCTTTCTCCCAGTGAGAAAACCATGGACACAGCTTGACTGCACTGATGCTCTCCCTCCCTCCCTGCAGGCTGGGCAGTTTTATGGCTCCTTGCGAAAGGGACTGCAAAGTCACTGCTAAAATGGCTAATGAGGCCCCTGGGACATCTCCCTTTGGTTTTGCAGGTCCAGCCCTCCAAAGGCGGCTGTTCCTGGCCTCTTGATTCTGCTCCCACATCAAAGCAGATGGTGGATTTGTGGGGACCGGGGTAGAGATGATGGTCTGTGCTCTTTCCATTGCCACTGGGCACCTTGCTTTCCTCCCCATAACCTTGCTCCACAGCTGCTGCTTACCCTCAACCTGGCTTGTCCCTGCCATTACATAGCTTTTATGCTGCTTTGGGGCAGACAAATGGACAAGATAATTCCTGAGGCTCCTTCCAGGCTGTTCCCAGATCATCAGTGGTCACTGCCTGTATCCAACATCTGCATCTCTGCTGCCATTTAAGACCTTGCCAGAACATTTAGCCTCCTTTTGCAGCCTTTCTGCTGGTCAATAATAAACTGTGGGTGACCAATGTCGGTCACGCCACCAGTATTGATGAGAAGTTTGAGTATCATGGCAGTAGCAAAGCAGAAGAGAGTGTAGCTCCCAAAGGTGATGTCTCGTGCAAGGAGCATGGGGACCTGGATGTCTGCCCTGTCTGTGTCCACTGTGATGCCCTGACCATGCTTGGTGCCCTGCCAGTAAATCCAGGGGCTTCATTTGGGACAATTTTGATGTATTTTGGGCCATATTCTTCATTCATGTAATGAAAAACCTGGGCATTGGATGCAGAGTTGCATGCATCTTTCAGACAGAGCTTCTTTTAAAATTGACATTTCAGTGGTGCTACCATGTGACCTAAGCCGAGAAACTCTCCTTCACAGTTCTTACTTACCATCTTATTTTGCAAGAGCCAAGTAGGTTTCGTACCAAACACCTTGGGTTCCTTTGTAACATTCCTCTTTCACGTAGGAATTTGTAAGGCGCTTTTGCATCATCTGATCAACTTTGTGCTCGAGGCCCGATGGACTCTGAGTAATGGGATTGAAATGGTACGGCAGTGTCATGAGGAAAGCACAACGGCCAGGACTAAGCATTGGGAATTGGCACTGCAGAGGGAGAGCAAGCACGTGCTGAGGGAAGGGCACGAGGTTGCACTGAAAGTGGGTTTTTTTCTGGGGAAAGTGGGCAATTCTTGTGAAAAGCAGCCATGAGAATGGCAGCAGATGTTGAGGTTGAAAATAGTGCTGTATGGGACAGTTGTCTCTTCTCTTTTATACAGACATTTCAACCAGAAAGCATGTTCCTGCATGCACTGAGCCAGGCAGAGACTCCAGAGATGCCCTCCAGCAGCTGAGTGAAAGGGAAGAGTGTGGGAGGAGGGAAATTCAGCCATTGAATTTTAACTAGTTCCCATCGATAGGGCTGTGTGTGCGCCCAGGAGTGTATTTTATAATGACCATAGAAAGTAGCTGTTCAATATGTGTGGTTAATGTAACAGAGCTCATTTTGCAAACTTATTAACAGGTTTCTTTACAACACAAAAGCCAAGTAGAGATGATGCACAAGCATTGTGTGAAGATTATTGGCAGCAGAAGAGAGCTTTTATCAGCAATATGATCTCCACGTGCTGTGTTGAATTAGAAAGCATCGCTGCAGAGAGGGACAAGGAGAGTAAAGAGCAGTAAAGAGCAAACCCTACTCCTGGCCTTGTAAA